AGAACGAAATTGCCCTTACAAAAATGCATGTTTAGTCGAAGAGGCCTTTTTAGATGGGACGTACACCATACTAAAGGGTACAAATTGCTGATTCCAAATCTGCTTTCCTTATTTGCAGAGCGTTCACAGACGAGGAGTTATAAGCGCTTATTGGGGCAAAAAATTGAATGTGCAAGTAGGACAAAAATAGCCGTAATACTTTTTCTAGCTCTTTAATGAAGCAGTGATAATCATCAGAGCACTTACTTCAAAATATACAGTACCGCTCGTAATTTGTAAAAAAAAAACTGGCGGCGGCCGCTTAACTCAGGCGGCGGCCACCGAAGTTAAGCGGCGGCCGCCGCAGTTAGGCGGCAAGCGCCGCGCCACGCGACAAAGTTAGGCGGCGGGCGCCTAACTTCGGCGGCCGCCGCCCAACTTTTTTAGAAATTCGAAAGAACTTATCTTGATCAAAAGTTTATGAATCCTATATTCAAACATACCATTCAGTTCAGCTCGGCGAGGAGCATCTTCCAGTATATAGATGTGCTTAGTCGTGGGGTTGTGTACGGCAGGCAGTCAATTTCAAGTTTTTCTTGAAATTTTAGCTGGAGTGAGTTACTCAGTGTGCTGATTCCACAGGCCACATTCCAGAAATACGGTAGGTATAGTTCAAGAGCTCATTCTGCACGGATTTGTGTAAAATTGGCTTTTCTCGGCGAAGTATGAGGGGTCCCAAAATGCAGGAAGACAAAGAAGAATGGCTGGAAATCGCATGCGAAGCACATATCGTCGAATGCCGTGCGTGCTGTGCAATGTACAACACCACCCACAGAACGGGAATTTCGCGAATCCGGAAATATCGCGAAATTTCCGGAATATCGCAAATTACGCAGCGCCATAACTTCCTTCAGGATGAATATATTCTGAATCCGAAACCCCTTGTGTTCAGCTCGTCAAGACAAATCTTTTGACGTACATCATGCCCTCTATATCTCGTTTCCAGTCTTCACAAATTTCTCTGCGGAGGTCCTTTCGCAAGGATGTAATGATGCAGCGCCTATCCTACACAAAAGATACTAGTTGCTACCATTCAATTTGCTTTTGTAGATTATAGTGCGCTAGAAAGTAGCCGCAGACTTCTTTCCAAGAGAGACAGAAGCGTTGGTGAATTCTGAAATCACGAGTTTTCAATTTTTTTCACCATAGCTTTCTTTGGAGTGAATATTTCCTGAATCCGAATACAGAATGTCCTTGATATTCCGATTTCAGTATTCTTAAAACTTTCTGCGGACGTGTCTTTGCAAAGGTGTAAATCAGCGCGTATGCCCCCAGTAGGTTCCAGAAAGAATCTTTCGATAGTACTTCTTTTGTAGATTATGGGGCATTGAGAAATAGCCGTACAATTCTTTTCAAAGGAAATAGAAGGGCTGGTGAATTCTGGAAAAATCATGTCTTTCTAAATTTTTCTCACCTTAACTCTAAAATATGAAACTCTCCTGCCAAACAGATGTGATTTTCGTAATCAGCAGGTCGGACAACCCTAATGAACAAGTTTCCCGAGATTTTTGGATGATTTCATTTTTTCTTGTTTTACGCTCTGAAGCTGGCCGATGGATTTCGGTCAAAATGTTGATGATCTTGAATGACTGTGAGTGAAAAAACTCCGCTCATAGAGTTTTTTGGATGCGCTCTTTACGAAAATCGTGGTCTCTGTAAAGTATATGGTCTTTTTGCAGAGATATGGCGAGGTGACTGTAATGGAGTCACGAAAGTGCGTAACTCTGTCCGCACTTCTCGCGTATCTGTCAGAAAACTTGTCCGCTTGCTTCTATAGGCTAAATTCAATGGGAACTGTGCCATCGATTGGTGCATGTCACGGACAATCTATGAAAATCCCCGATTTACGAGCCTACGAAAACACGTCCTCATGAACTTCGCCCAAAATCTAAAGATCGCGTACTTCGTCGAAATTCGACCGTGAATGGTTGTATAACACGCTGATAAATGTTTCTAAATCGCTTACTGGATCTTCTTATGTTGGATTTGATAGTAAGACAGATCTGAATTTTAGCTACGAAACTGCTTTGATGTTCAATTAAGCAGCTGAAGCACACCCAACCACTATACTCAATACAGTGGGATTCCTTGGACAAAATGAACATAACATTTGTAATTAGAATGTCGTGAAACCACTCACGGTGGAATTTCGACGAAGTATGCGATCTCTAGATTTTAGGCGAAGTTCATGAGGACGTGTTTTCGTAGGCTCGTAAATCGGGGATTTTCATAGATTGGAGTCCGTGACATGCACCAATCGATGGCACAGTTCCCATTGAATTTAGCCTATAGAAGCAAGCGGACAAGTTTTCTGACAGATACGCGAGAAGTGCGGACAGAGTTACGCACTTTCGTGACTCCATTACAGTCACCTCGCCATATCTCTGCAAAAAGACCATATACTCTACAGAGACCACGATTTTCGTAAAGAGCGCATCCAAAAAACTCTATGAGCGGAGTTTTTTCACTCACAGTCATTCAAGATCATCAACATTTTGACCGAAACCCATCGGCCAGCTTCAGAGCGTAAAACAAGAAAAAATGAAATCATCCGAAAATCTCGGGAAACTTGTTCATCAGGGTTGTCCGACCTGCTGATTACGAAAATCACATCCGTTTGGCAGGAGAGTTCCATATTTTAGAGTTACGGTGAGAAAAATTTAGAAAGACATGATTTTTCCAGAATTCACCAGGCCTTCTATTTCCTTTGAAAAGAAGTGTACGGCTATTTCTTAATCTTATATATAAAGCTGAATGTCTGTTTGTATGTCTGTCTGTCTGTACAGTCGCTTCATTTCATATGATCATGTGTGTCATTGCACACACAGTTCACCTTTGGCGTCCCCATCCTGGATCGTAGGAGAAACAAGCCTTCAGATAAGTGTTTCTAAGGTGTTCTTAGCATTTTCTTTGTTTTTTAGTTACTAGTACCTCAAATTGATGTACTCGATAACAATCGGTAAGTCTCTTGCGTTTTTGCGATTGCAAATCCAGGATGAGGACGCCAAAGCGGACTGTGTTGCAATGGCACACATGATCATATGAAATGAAGCGACTGTATGTATGTATGTGTGTACGTGTGTTCCGAATAGAAAATTCCATTTCTGAACCGATCCGGACCAAACTTGGCAGATACACTTCGGGCCCCGGCGGGTGTCATAGGCTACCTTTCGATATCGATTTTATCGATTTCTTGCAAAATTTGAGCTACGGGGCTGGGAGTTGGTACAGGGGGGTAATCGAGCATGCTGGTTACGAATATAATAATGACAGGGCCGGGCGGAGTCGGGTAAGTCAACTAATGCCCCATAATCTACAAAAGAAGTACTATCGAAAGATTCTTTCTGGAATCTACTGGGGGCATACGCGCTGATTTACACCTTTGCAAAGACACGTCCGCAGAAAGTTTTAAGAATACTGAAATCGGAATATCAAGGACATTCTGTATTCGGATTCAGAAAATATTCACTCC